TCCTGCACTTGCCAGGCTTATTCTACTGAGCTATCTCCCTGGCCCTTCTAGACTATTTTTAATGCTACTGCCATTGCTGATGGTACCACTATAGCCAAAAGTGACATAATTGTTCTAAATAGCTGTTCTTCCTGGTATGCCAAGACTGAGATTGACTAAGGGTCACAGAAAATACTGTGGCACAGTCCCAGAGAACCAGGGGCTTGGCCAAATATTCAGCAACTTCTCATCCCTAACAAATTGAAGATGAAGGATCCTGCAACAGACTCAAAACTCAAAAGCAAGCTACACCTGGAAGACACCTCTGAGAAGTAGTCATTTTCTAAGGCTTCTAAATACTATCAATAGGGCCAGTGAGATTACTCAGCAGACTAACTACCTGCTTAGGCAAGCACAGGGACTGGGGTTTGATCCCAAGCACCACATGCTGTGCCCACCCCACCCTCAGGCTCACTGAGCCAGCCACCAAGTCTAGGTTTGGTGGCACACATCTGTAATCCTAGCTCTGGGGAGGCTGAGAAGAGGAAGATTATTACAAGTCCAGGCTGCATAGTGAGACCCTGTACCAAATACATAAAAAATTAATTAATAAAAAAACTACCAATAAAGCTAGTATCCATAGACACTTTACAAGGGTCATCCCAGGAATTAAAAATAAGAAGATACTTAAACAAGATGCAGCCCCAGACATCCAGTTCACCAAAGGCAAATCCAGGGAGCAATGAGGTGGGACAATCTGAAAACTACTCACATGGCCTCTCTGAAGTGGTAACAACAAAGCAATTAAATGGGGCTCTAGAAACAAATCAAACCAGAAATAATTTTTCAGATAACTACAGAGATTGGGTCCACAATGAAAACTATGCTTAGTGACTCTAGAGAAGATACAGACAAAAAATAGAGGAGCTTAAGAAAATTATGGAAGTCATGAATGCTCATCACAGGAAAGAAATGGAACCCATAAGGAAGATTCAGACAGATATCCAGGGGAATAAAAATTTCAATGAAAGTATCCATATAAGATTAAGCCAACGTAAGGATGGGATCTTAGATATAAAAGACAGGTTTACAGTTAGCAATTTTGTAAAGAAAGATTTCTTAAAAATAGCAAGAGACCATGAAAAATCAACATAGCAGCTGCTAGATAAGACAAAGAAGAATAATTTAAGATTCACTGGAATCAATGAAAAAGCAGAAGAGAGCATTACTGATATATATTTAAAAAGTGTTCATAGGGCTGGTGGGATGGCTTAGTGGTCTAAAGCACCTACTTAGAACAAGCTTAGCAAAGCACAGGGACTGCGGTTCGATCCCCCAGCACCACATGCCAGCCAGCCCCGCCCCCTGGTGGGCTGAGCTAGCCACACACACACACACACACACACACACACACACACACAAATAAAAATGTTCATAGACAATATGGCAAAAAGCTTCCCTGGTACAGAAAAAGATACATACAAATAAGTTAAGCATATAGACCTCCAATTAGCTGTGATCAAAAAAATCTGCAGCCAGGCATATTATAGTCAAGATTCCAGGAATTCAACCCAAGAATACAATCTTAAAAGTTGTAAGGGAAAAGAAACAAATTATCTATAAGGGAAATCCCATCAGAATCACAGCTGACTTCCCAGAATAAACCCTCAAGACAAGAAGACCTTGGAGTGAAGTATTTTAAGTTCCAAAGGAAAATAACCCTCAACCCAGATTGAGGTATCCCACAAAACGATCTTTCTAAATAAATAGAGAAATAAGATACTTTCATGACCAAGAACATCTGAGGAAGTTTATGATCACCAAATCAGCACTCCAAAATATTTTGCAGGACATTCTAGAAAGAGGTAACAAGAACTACAACTCCATGAACCTCAACAGAAGGAATCTACCAGGCAAGGCAAATAAGCAGAGGGAAAAAAAAGAGGTAGAACCAACAACAGGAAAACAACATGACAAGGACAAGTCAATATGTATCAGTTATAACCATTAATGTTAATGGTCTCAATTCACCAATGAAAAATATAAACAGGCAAAATGGATCAAGGAGCAAGATCCAACAATATGCCACATTCAAGAAACACATTTAATTAAAAAGGGAATTCATAGACTGAAAGTCAAAGGAAAAAATTACTTCATATGACAGGAACCCAAAAAAAGCAGGGATGACTATTCTATGTGCAGACAAAGTGAATTTCAAGATGACTGATTCAAAGTTATAAAGAAGGTCACTACATCCTTATAAAGGGAACAATCCAAGAAGAAAAGATAACTATTATAAATATATATGCAACAAAACCAGCATGCCCAACTATATAAAGCAAATATTAATGGGCATGAAAAATCACATAAGCACTAATACAGTGGTCACAGGGAGCCTCAACGCCCCATTGTCACAAAAAGATAGGTCAACTAGACAAAAAGCTACAATGATAATAACAGCACTGAACAAATGGAGTTCATAGATGTCTACAGAGTGTTCCACCCCACAACATCAGAATATACATTCTTCTTAACTGCACATGGGACATCCTTCAAAATAGGCCACATATTAGTTCATAGAACATGCTTAAGTAAATGCAAAGGAACTGAAATTATCTCATGCATATTATCAGACCATAGTACAGTGAAATTGGAAATCAATGGCAAAGGAAACCACAAGAACTTCATAAACACATGAAAATTAAATAGCACTCTCCGGAATAACCATTGTATAACAGATGAAATTAAAGAAGAAATTAGATAGTTTCTACAATTAAATGATAATGATGCTATACCATACCAGAACTTATGGGACACAATGATAGCAGTGCTAAGGAAAATTTATAGCAATGAATACCCTTATCAGGAAAGCAGAGCAAGTGTAAATAAACAACTTAATGGTGAATCTCAAACTTCTATGAAAAAGAACATCTCATCTTTTTTTTTTTTTTTTTTTTTTT